TCCATTGAGCTCTCACTTCTTTCAAACTTCACTTTCTGTGTGCTTAAATTCACCTTCCAGGTTTTTTTTTTCTTTTGGCCGCTTTTCTTTCCCCGTTGTGTTCTATTTGGCCACCGTGATTTCTCAGTGCCCACTAAAAGACAGCCATTCACGCAGACACCAGCTTTGGGAAGGCTGATGCCACACTCCAAGCATCAATAGCTTCTCTGTGTCTTTTCAGAAAGGGCTCCTCTCTCCTTGAATGGTGCTAGAGCCCATTAAGCTCCCGTTTTCTTTCCGCTATAAGACCACAATAGTCCGTTTGAGCACAAGCATACTACAGCCACATATAAGGTGTTATCGTGAAATTGGGTGCTTGAGTTGATTCTGTATTCTGTGTGGTCATATCAAACACCCTCTTGGCAAGAAGAAGGTAGTCTATTTGTAGTGCTATGAAATTAAAAGGATATAATACATGGTGTCACCTGTTGCTTCAAGAATATAAGGATGGTATGGGTGTTAGAACAAACTCAGAGGGAACATCACATGCATTTGTGTTGCTGACTTTGCCGTCCGGTTGCCACAACGAGATTCCCAGCAATCCGCTGAAGTCTGCTTCATTATTCACAGGGCTGACCATCATCTGAATTAAAGATACATGCTTTGACTGCTCGCTGTTAGACAGGACCAAATGTCCTTTCAGGCGTACATGAGCACACTTCTAAATTAAGATCTGTCTCTGAGATTAAACACGTTTGCAAATGTGTGCGTCTCTAGGGGATGGTGAATGAGCGAGCGAGCGAGTGAGCAAGTGAGTGAGTGAGTGAGTGAGTGAGTGAGTGAGTGAATGAGTGAGTGAGTGAGTGAGTGAGTGAGCGAGTGAGCGAGTGAGTGAAAAATAAAGACAGTGGCTACAGTCAGCTGTGTGGGTTGCCAGAGCCCGGGTGAGTCAACTATTTCTGACAGATGTTTGCAGATACCCATATAACATGAGTTTCGAGTCAGTTATATGAGGTTATTTTTATGACGCATTATTTTTATTAATCCGCTCAACTCGCTTCAGATCAGACAAGATGACTCACGGATTTTAATCATTTTACTTAGCGTAGGAAAATAAACTAGGTTCCCGTCAGTGAAAAAACAAACAAAAAAAAAAACTATGTCAAGCGAGTTGCACATGTTACAGACTTATGGTGGGAAACGTTTTTAGATTATTTTAATGTCACAATAACCTGGAGTTTGAACAGGGTGTGAAGAATTCCACTGTTTCCCACACAATATCCAAGGGAGGGGTGCAAAGCAAAACATTTGCGTTCTAAAATTGTACGTGCTCCCATTCTCTCCTTTTGAAGGTCTTTTGGGGACAGGAATTTTGGTGAACTGGTGCCAAGCAGCCTCTGAATGCTGGAGATGGTTAACCAGGGATATGGTGAGATTATTGTAACAAAGACGCAATCTCCATTTGCTCCCGAATGATCCTCTTTGAAGTGCCTGTTGGAACATGCTGGCTGACCATGGCATCTGCTGGCTGGATTGATTGGTTTAGTCCTTTTTGCAGGAAACTAATTCTCATTCATGATGGTCAAATGTGTGCATGGATGTTATCGTCCGCAGTACACACATTTGTTTTCCGTAAACGACAGTGAAGCAGCAGCCCGATCAATAAGATGTTAACAATTTTGCATTGGTGTTGGATGAGTTGACATACCTTGCGCCCCGACAAGACCCCATAATCAAGGCAAATGACTCTCTGACGTGATATGTTTGTGGAGTGTACCTCACTCTGATATCCTGCCCATTAGGACACATGTACTGTCGGATCATGTTGTGATGTGAGTGGAACTGATCGAGTGTACACAGCATGTGTAACACGCACGCAGAGATACAGTAGAGATTATTATTCCTAAAGGGATAATATGAAGTATGGAATATTCCATAGCTCTTATGATGGATTTCCTGGGGGTAATAGAGTCAATGAAATAATCAAGTTCCCTCAAATTGGGTTAGGTTATGTCACAACAGGAGGATGATGAGTGTAAAATCTAAGGAATTATGACATCCAACAAGGGAAAGTAAAATGTAAACAATTGCATTGCACGAATTTGTGGTATCATACATGCTTGAATGTTGGGATTTCTCTCTGCCTTGATTTTCCAAACCAATAAATCATCTATGGGTCAATGAATGATACTATTTTCATTTGGCTAGATGGAATGGTTTTGTGGGGCCTGGTGTCTATTCAACCAAACCTTTTCTTTCAACGCTGAAAAAAATGATTCTTTTAAAGAGAAGATGTGCCAGTTTTTACACCTAGTGCACATGAACATGTCTACAAAAACAGAGCTCTATAAAATGATGTATTTTCAGGAGCCTGTGCAAAAAAATGCAATTAAATGCGATGTAATTGTGAATTTGATTTTGGATTCTCACAATGACATATTAACATATTGTCCCCACATAAATATCTTATCTAAACAAGGACATGTTTGGATAAAAGAACTAATGCAGACTCCCATCCATCCATTTTCTGTTCCGCCTATCCTCACAAGGGTCGTGGGGAGGGGGTCTATGTATGCCCCACCTGCTGCTTGGGCAGCAAGTGGGGCACACATAGACGAACAACCATTCGCACTCGCAATCACAGCTAGGGACAATTTAGAGTGTTCGACTGACCTGCCAAGCATGTTTTTGGAATGTGGGAGGAAGCCGGCGTACCCGGAGAAAACCCACGCAGGCACGGGGAGAACATGCAAACAACACACAGGAAGGCTGGAGCCGGAAACGAACCCTGCACCTCCCCACTGTGAGGTTAGCGCGTTGTCCTCACAGCGCAGAGGTATCGGGCTCAATTCCAGCTCCGGCCTCAATGTGTGGAGTTTGCATGTTCTCCCCGGGCCTGCGTGGGTTTTCTCCGGGTACTCGGGTTTCCTCCCACATTAAAAAAAAATATGCATGGCAGGTTAAAGGGACACTCCAAATTGTCCCTAGTTGTGAGTGTGAACGCGAATGGTTGTTTGTGTATGTGTGCCCTGTGACTGGCTGGCAACCAGTTCAGGGTGTACCCGGCCGACTGACCGAAGGCAGCTGAGATAGATTGGCTCCAGCATGTCCATGACCCTTGTCAGGATAGGCACATTAGAAAATGGACGGATGGATTGATGGACTATTTGCTGCTCTCAATGAATTCTCTTCATTCATCAAGGTGATATGAATAGAATTTGTGCATTTTAGTATATGCTGTGGGCTGCTAAAAAAATGGAAGACAGCCTGTAATTTGGGCACCCATAATTTAACCTGTTTGTACAAAACTGCAGCCTGTAAAAATAACTGATTGATTTTAGCTTCCAAGGAGTAGTCAAGTAATTGGAGGATTTGAGGGAAGCTCTTTATGTCTGTAATTTAATTATAACGAGCAAAAAATGTGACTAACAGCAGTACTTCAATTGGAATAAAGTTCTGATGAACTCCCAAAGCCCTGACACTCATCAAAGCTGTTTTTACGTCTACATTTTCATTACCAAATCTGCTTCTGGAAATGTAACTAATTATCACAGAACTCATAATTATATCATTATTGTGCTGTCTTTTCAACAGTATGTGTGTGTGTGTGTGTGTGTGTGTGTGTGTGTGCGTGCGTGCGTGCGTGCGTGCGTGCGTGCGTGCGTGCGTGCGTGCGTGCGTGCGTGCGCGCGCGCGTGTGTGTGTGTGTGTGTGTGTGTGTAAGAGAGAGAGAGAAAGAGAAAGAGACTTTATTGATTCCATATTAGATGAAAGTAAGAGTAGTGCACTGACAAAATGTAACTCACTCTAAAACAGTGGTTCTTTACCTGGGTTCGATCGGTCTCATGGGTTCGACTTAGCCTCTGCCATGCAGGCTAAGACACACCCGACTCAAGATGTCAATTAGTTCTGACAAGCCCGCTTGGCCATCACTGACTACAGATGATTACATTACTTTGTTTGTCCAATCGGTGCTGTGGGAAATTTGCTTAGTTGTCAATGTGTGACTGTCGTGATAGTATGTCATACAATTAAAAAAAGAAAAGAAAAAAGTATACTTTTCTCTTAAAATTTTATTGACTTTTTTCAGTTTTTAACAAATGCCTTTTTATATATCTTGAATTTGTAAAAAGTCATATTTTTGTTTTTCACTAATGAAAGGTTCGGTGAATGTGCATTTTAACAGGTTGGGTTCGGTACCTTTAATTAAGAAGGTTAAGAACCACTGCTCTGAAACGACTCTCCATCCCTTTTCCATTGCATTCATCATGGTGACAGTCACAGCCAATTGCAGAGCTGACACATGGAGGCAGAGAAATGATAATAATGACTGTCCTGTAATTTTCATGCAAAGGGGAAATTATATCTACATTCTGGGGAGATGTGCAGGGCTGGATGCTCGCTATTTTGTCCGTCGTGGGACTAGAATTAGTATGTGTATGTCCATTCATTTCGATACCTCTTAGAGCTGTCAGTGATCTGAGGCGTATCCCAGATGACTTCTGGAGAGAGAGGGGTGCCTTAACCGACAAAAACGATCCACTTTCAGCTATTTACTACATTTTTGAATACTACAGTCATAATTTAACATTTTAAATGTATCATCGTTCCATATTACAGAGAAGTACATACATTTTTGGTAACAAAATGTTTGCAATTTCTCAATGTTGAAGACAATTTGCAATTTTGTATTTTAATAAAGAATCATGCAGTCGATGCACATTATTTGCTTTTGCAGGCCACCTAAAATGATGTGGGGAAAGGATCTCGCCCCCAACCATTGAGTTTGACACCTGGGTTGTAAATTCTTTCAAACTCTTGTCTATGTGCTCCAATGCAAAAAAATAAATAATAAAAAAAATACAGGCACGTGACCAAAGAGATAAATTATTTCATATAAGACATCAATGTAAAGTATGACAACTCAACAGCCCCCCACATTGAGTACTAAAAATGAGTGATGGAAAGAGAGAAACGAGCGCAGAGTGTCCGTCCAGTCGTGACCTTTCAAGCTCGGGGCTGTCAGGTGCGGGGGGGAGTGGGCGGAGCTTCAGCGCTCGCCGTCTCGTGTGTGCGGACTGCCAGCTTCTGTGACAACAAATGGTCGCGGCAAGCGAAGAGTGTCGTCCGGCTGAGAGCGCTTCTCCTTCTCCTTCTTCAACGTCCACACCCTCCGAACATTGCCGGCAGCAGAATGGAAGAACCCTGCTGACAGCATCACGGAGAGACCCACGCTGAGACCGAGCATGGCCGTGGACGGTAGGTGCGCTTTGTCTTGACGTAACCGGGTCAGCGGCACTTTTTCTTCTTTCACACGGATGGCAGGGATGCCGTTTTGACGCTAGAAGAAAAGGGAAAGCGGGTTGGCTTTTCCTAAAATTCGTGGGAGTCTCATATATTTGCCTATAATAGTGCATCATTTGACAGCACTTTTTTTTCTTGAAAATATTCACTCGAAAGTGTGTAGCATCATCACTTAATCAAAAAACACGTTTCCCAATGTTTTTTTTTTTTAATGTATGAACTTTGTTGTTTTTACATCATTTTCGTGAAGTAGGCCTTTTGTCAGCATTATCAGAATAAAGTATCACCAGAATTCTAAACCTCCCTCACCTGAATGGGTGGCAACCAGTATTCGAGGGATGCAGTAATGAGCTGGCTTTTATTTGCTCTCCATTCTTTTGTTTGGCTATAAATAGAGATCAAACAGTGTAAACACGTGTGCTATTCTGTATGAATGAGCTCATAGCAGAGAGGGCTTTCTTTCGTGTTCATATTTTTCATCGTATGAAGTTAAATGTGAAGCATGAACTTGAATTCACTCGAAATTGAGAAAAAACAGTGTGCAGTTTTTTTTTCTTTCTACTGAATATTTCAGAAAGCAAGTCACTGATGGTGCTGTGTTACATTCGCCTGATTGGGGTCCAAGCAGTGTGGGCTCAGTTCCTTCACGGTGTGATGGTGAACATGAGAGAGAGAGAGAGAGAGAGAGAGAGAGAGAGAGAGAGAGAGAGAGAGAGAGAGAGAGAGAGAGTTTGTGTGTCCTATAGAGGCAGACATGCATTCAGTGTGTGCCCTATGACTGACTGGTGACCAGTCCAGATTATAGTCTGCCTCCATCCCCAAATAGGCTCCATCTTTCCACGACCCTGAACAGGATGAGCTGTATATGCAATGGATGAATAGATATTTCAGAAAGCATTGACGTGGGCTCCTAAATTAAGCCACGCGATGTACTCTTTTAGTACTAAGATGTCCTCCCACCAGCTAACCCAAACAAAGAAATTTTAGCAATTTTACCTGCAAAATAACAGGTTCAAATTCATTTTAATATGACACTTTCTTGCAGTAAGGACAATTGAATGGAAAACCCTGGATCAATTGAAAATTGGTAGACCTTTCCGAACACTGCTCATGCATTGTTAGCACTAATGCGAGTCAATACCATTGTCGAAACCAGTCCTTTGCGTGCCTTTTTATTAAGCCAAGGCACAGATTCTAAATTCCACAGCGCACTACCAAACAAAATGAAATAATGATGATCTGGTGCCAGTAGAAGAGCGTTTAATTGTTCTGCCTGTCACAGTCCATCACGCAGCGATGCACCCATACTTCGTAGCTTCATCTGAACACAAATGGCAACACTTTTAGCCGAGGAATTCGTAGGAACTAGTCTTGTATTTCTTTTTACTGAGTTCATTCGGTGGTGAACACACAGGTTTCGTGGAATCCCTATTCCTATTGGTTTACATCTACCAGACTCTACATTCTTCTTCCTCTCCGAGTTGCTCTCTTTATTCTACTCTTTTCATGTAGTGTCCCATACTGTTGAGAAGGAAAAAGAACATACCTGAAATACCTTGTGTACTTCAAGAGCCACTTGGACCATCTCCCACAGAAAACAAACAAACAACAACAAAAACAAACAAACACCAGGAGCCACAAAACCCTTTTGACATCTGAGGTGAGGGAAAGGCTGCAGCTGTCGTTTTTTTTTTTTTTTAACCTTGACTTGCATGGTTAGAAGCTCTCTTGTTTTAATGAACTCAGTACAGCGGTTGTCAAGGTTTATTTCTGCATTTGACAAAAACTCAGGAAAAAAAAGATGTTTGGTTGAGGCATACTTTAAAATAAAGTAGTCAATGTCTATTTGAGTGCTCATATTATTAACAAAGTTAATTATCCACCTGCAGAGAAGCAAAAATGTGAAACCAAAACTGCCGTCTCCTTCTGTTTTACATGATTCTATTCCATGCCAGCTTTCCGTCTGGCTAAAAAAAAATGCTTTTCTACTCACAGTAACAGTGAATACTGTAAATTTGCAAAATAACAGCCAACTCAAAGACTGATTTTACCTGGTTACTGTGACTTTTGCTCCTGAACGTGAGCGCAGAGCGTCGGCACGTCAGGGCCGTGAGACACCACCTTCACCCTCACACAAACACAAAACGTGAGGTGTGAGTGAGTGTTTAATACTGCATAGTTCCGATAGCATGTCACATTAAATGTTCTCTTTTCTTCAGAAACCTTTGCTTGATTTATTCATATTTTCCCTGCTGTAGGTCAATTGCTCAGTAAATTTGGGCACCTGGTCACGGCGGTGGTCACATATATTTTGAGTAACAGCGGAAAAAAAAGTTGTATTTTTATATCACAAGATCACCAAAATCTTCAAATTTCGAATCAGATTTGAAAAATGTGACAGAACGCATTTAAATTGAATACTCTTTGCTTGTTTTGCATTGACACGCAAAGCCATAGCAAAAGGATGAAAGTGATCATTTCAAATGTGGGTGCACAGTCTCCAGCCTACGTCGCTTCGGTCCCCAAGCCAAGTTTTCACATTTTTTATTTTTGTTTTTAGTGTCTGTTTGTTTGTTTATTGAACATATAAACATATACAGTAATAAATTGACAGAAAGTAAGGTAAGTAAAATAGTAAAAAGGAAAGAGAAATCAGTCATTTAGCACAATTATTATGTTCATTACCACAGTAACTCAAATGAAAATTACATTTCGGAACTGTAAGTGGAGATGAGGAGCATAAAACACTACAGTATATGTTGTAAATCCTTTACCTTCAGTTTCTCTCCCAAGGAGAATGTTTTTTGTTTACATTAGGCTCACGAAGAACCCATTACAATTCGGATTGGAATGAAATCGTCTTGTTCAGTGAGTGACATGCGGTGAGATTCATGACTGCTGGGTGAGGCACTGTCTCCTCTGGAGTTGGATATAAAAATACCAGTCCAGAAGAGAAGATTAGCCTTGATTTCAATTCTGACCCTAAGTGTTTTCAAAGCTTTTAATTCTGCTTCACTCAATTCCACACTGTTTAATAATGTGATAGCAAGAAAAAAACAAAAGCATCTTAACTATAAGTTCATTGCTGTTGCCCTTTTTTTTTTTTTTTAAATTAAAAAGCATTTGGTCTTACCTTCATCTCTACTATTATGGAAGTCTTAATTATAAAAATACCCATGTATCATAACTGCATGCCTGATGTTTCTGACAAAGCAATCCATGTCAAAATCAGTCAAGAATTCAACTAGTTACAGTGCGATTAATTTACTGGAGCCAAACACAGTTACCGCAAGTGCAAGGAAGAGATCACCGGCGACCTCCGGTTCAGAATGATGGCTAGGTCTGGATGTCCTCGACCCGCCGAAGCTTCCTGTAGTGGCTATGCAGTATATCTCTCTCTGAAAAGAGCACCGCGCTTCTTCTACGCATTGCGCCAATGGAGCACGGCCCCTTCTTGACTCCACCATGCATTTTCAGTCGCTTTTCTGGCAAGTCAGAAAGAGTGAATTCTGTAGGTCCCTCACGTTCATTAGACATATTGGACAGACTATTGAATGTCATCATGTGGAGTACATGTGTGATAAAACGCATATATTGGTGATATGAGGAACCGCAGCAATGCCTATAACTGCCTGCGACAATGAATGTGCGCATTCTTGTTGGAGGCACTGAAGGTGCTGCTCCTCTGTTTCCTTCTCGCCCGTGTATGTGAACAGGAAATAAGCACCCGATCTATTAATTTTAATGAGCAAATAATTGGCATTATTGGATTGAAAAAGAAAATCAACCGAAAGCACTGAACAGACATAAAATGGAAAATAATTTAACAATTGTTTGTTTGTTTGTTTTACTCTACACATGCACGGCCCTGGTATTGATCGCAACTTACCAATTTGACACTCTTGACCAACCTCATCGTGGTGGCCATTTCTGCATTGATTTTAGAGGTATCTTGTTTTCAGCCTTGGTGGAGGCATGGAACGTGCTTCCTGGGTGCTCTTATTTATCAATTTGTTGTCATGCTTGTGCTAGGCTAGCTAGCTGGTGTTTGCTACAGGCGAGTGAGGCCGAATTAAAGCCTCCCTCTGTGCATGATATTTTTACAGTGTCTTTCTTGTCAACTGAAGGTTCATTAGTACTACAGATGGCGCACACACACATTCAAGTCTGCTCGCTTAGTCAAACACGGGGCTAGTTTTTAATTAATCCGTAGTTTACTTATGCATCATTGATTGAGTGCCCTGGGTACTCCTGAAACCCTTTTACAGTGTGTTGTTCTATTTAAAGATGAAAGGGGGGGGTTGTCCAAAAAGATTGAAGAAGTTTATTTACAAGTTGCTGACTAGAATCCGTTTAGATTCGTGTGTAGTCTCTTTAGTTGATGCATTGAATAACAGCATTGGTTACAGTTTTGCCCCAATTTGTTTATGAAAAACTTGATGTCTTCATTTTCTGATACACAAGAGATGTTTTGCACACAGTTTTCTCTTTTCTTAAGCGTTGCAGGGATTTTCCGACCCAGGTTTTAAGATGCTGCTACCGATCATCCCTGAGTGTGAGCTACCGATACCGATGCCGATCAAGTGGATTTGGTGTAAAATTTTCAATTTTACAGTCACAACTACTGATTTTTCTTAAATAATCGATTCGTCAGTTTTTGTTTTTTTTTTAAATTGATTCATCGGGTTAAAAAAAAAACATTATCAAATTTCTATCCTGCTTTTATTCAAAAACAAGACGTTGCTTCAAATAGACATTGCAGAAAATGCACAAATGATGATTCAGTTACCATAGTGATCTGTAACATGTCAGAAAAAAGCGGGAAATGTTCTCATTCCCAAGTAAAAGCAGCTGTTTGCAAAGGTCTGATACGGATTATACCCAAAAATAACCATGACTCACGTCTTTACATAGAGCCTTGTATTCCAATTAGAATTAAACGAAATTACCGAAGG